GTCAAAACTAGAAGAAAACGTACCTTTTCTCGTCCTGTCGGTAGGGGGCCGATTATGTCCATTCCCCACTTTATGAAGGGCCATGGCGAGGTAACCGAATGGAGGAGAGTGACCATATTTTCTTTGTTGATATTTCTTGTGGCTGCGGCTAGTTTAGCTAGTCTATCAGCCTCGACGTTTTGTGCCCTGGGGATTTGCTCGAAGCGACATTCGTCGAACTCATGCATCAGCTTGCGGATCTCTGACTGATATTTTTGTAGTCGTTGCTCTTTGATTTGGTAAGTCCCGGTGACTTGATTTACGACGAGTTGAGAGTCGCAGTGGAGGATGAGTCGACGGGCCCCGTATATGATGGTCAATTTCATGCCTGCAATCACAGCCTCATACTCGGCCTCGTTGTTAGTCATCTCGGGGCATCGTATGGACTGGCGAATTATTTCGCCCGTGGGGACTTCGAGGATGAGTCCCAGTCCCGATCCCGAAGCATTCGCAGCGCCGTCAGTGTAGAGGGTCCAGAGGTTAGTGTGAGCAGAGGCGTAGAGGGCCTATTGTTCCACCTCTGGCAATATCCCTGCACTGAAGTCGGCAACAAAATCGGCGAGTACCTGTGACTTGATGGCGGTTCTTGGGTGGTAGGTTATGTCATGCTCGCTGAGCTCTATGGCCCATTTGGCGAGCCTACCCGAGAGCTCGGGTTTGTGTAGGATGCCTCTTAGGGGGAAGGTTGTTATTACCTTTATGGGATTCCATTGAAAATAAGGTCTGAGCTTTCGCGAAGCTACGACCAGTGCCAGAGCCAGTTTTTCAAGGTGGGGGTACCTCGTCTCGGCATCTACTAACGTTTTGCTGATATAATAAATAGGGGATTGCACCTTTGTTTTCGCAGACCAAGACGGCGCTGACAACGACTTCGGATACTGCCGATACACAAGTAGGCACTCACCGGGGCCTGCTTTGACGAGCAGTGGCGGCGAAGATAGATATGCCTTCAATTTCCTTAGGGCCTCGATGCATTCTTCGTTCCATTGTAGTCCATGATCTTTCCTCAGCACACTGAAGAATTTATGGCATCTGTCCGAGGACCGCGAGATGAACCTTGATAAGGCGGCTATCGCCCCGTTAGTTTCTGTACCTGCTTCTTGCTGTGCAGAACCTCGGGTATTGTGTCTATAGCTTTGATCTGGTCCGGGTTGACTTCAATGCCTCGTTGCGATACGAGAAAGCCTAGAAATTTTCCCGAGGCCACGCCGAAGGTGCATTTTTCTGGGTTCAACTTCATCCCATACTGCCTCAGTATCTCAAAGGCTTGCTTTAAATGGCCGATATGGTCTTCCTTCTTAACCGACTTTACTAACATGTCGTCGATATAAATCTCCATTGTCTTACCGAGCTGTTCCTCGAACATCTTGGTAACCAACCTTTGGTACGTTGCACCCGCGTTTTTCAGTCCGAAGGGCATCACTTTGTAGCAGTACGTCCCTTGATGGGTGATAAAAGTTATCTTTTCTTGGTCCTCTTCGGCCATTAAGATTTGGTTATAGCCAGAGTAGGCGTCCAAGAAACTTAGCAGCTCGTGCCCCGCTGTTGCATCGATCAGCTGGTCGATATGGGGCAATGGGAAGGAGTCCTTTGGGCATGCCTTATTCAGGTCAGTGAAGTCTACGCACATTCTCCATTTCCCGTTTTTCTTTTTAACCATGACCACGTTGGCGACCCATTGGGGGTACTTTGATTCTCTGATGGAACCGTTGGCTAGTAGTTTATCTACCTCTTCACTGACTGCCTCGTTGATTGCGGCATTGAATTTCCTCCTTATCTGCCGTACGGGCGGATAAAGTGGGTCGACGTTCAGCTTGTGAGTGGCGATGTCTTTCGGGATCCCTGGCATATCTGAATGAGAGAAGGCAAATAAATCTGCATGGTTAGTTAAGAATTCGTGGTACTTACCTGGGTCGGAGAGGTTGTGTCCGATGTAGGCTTTCTTTGAACTGTCGGTACCGTCCAGCTGGACCGGGTCGAGGTTCTCGACTGTCGCTTTGCAGGCTTCTACGACATCTGGGTCCCTAATAACCTCTGTCGTCGGGTTGATTTTGGTTCCCGACATGGCTAATTGCTATGCTTCCGCGCTTGCTCCCTTCAACTGTTTGGTATATGTGCAGTCTTGGGAAATTCGGTAACATTCGTGGGCGGTACGTGGCTCACCTCGAATGCTGAATATTCCCCATGGCGTGGGAAATTTGATTACTTGATAGAGACTCGAGGGGATGGCCCGCATGGCGTGTATCCATGGACGCCCCATGATGATGTTGTAGGCCGTTTCCTGGTTCATGATGTGGAATGTGGTTTCCAGTGTGACTCCCCCCGCTAGGACTGGCAGTGATATCTCTCCGGAGGTTCGCTCTACTGCATTGTTAAAACCCGTTAGTGTTATGCAACGCAGTATTATCTTATCTTCGAGCCTCATTTGCATGAGGACTCTTGGGTGGATAATATACGCGCTGCTTCTGTCGTCTACCAAGATTCTTTTCACATCAGTATCAGCAATGTGTAAAGTTATAACTAAAGCATCATAATGAGGGAAAGACAAACCGTCGGCATCAGACTTATCGAAGGTGATACCATCTTCGAAGTCATCATACCGTTCGTGAGTGATCGTGCGCTTCAACTTGTGTGTGGTGGTGAACTTTACATGGTTGATTGTCGAGTCGTCGCCGCCACCGACGATCATCTGTATGGTGCGCGCTGGAGAAGGTGGTTTTGGTGGTCCTTGGGATTGGTCGCGTCCTCTGGCGAAATTAGCCCTTCCTTTATCGCTGAGCAGCTCCTTCAGGTATCCCTGGTTCAGCATTCTGACCACCTCCTACCGTAGACCTATGCAATCTTCGGTCTTGTGTCCTCTTTCCTGATGGAATTTGCATAGGACGTTCGACCTCCTTGCACTAGGATCTGATTTCATTTTTTGTGGCCACTGCATCTTCGTGCCCAGCTTTTCCAGTACGTACACTATTTCTGAAGGGGAGACACAAAAGTTATGAGTGGATAATAATGGGGGCATACCTCTTTCATTCCGAAGCGGGGCGGCATGTCGTTGCACGGCATCTGGATGTCTTGGAGGAGGCGGATTAGGAGTTCTGACGTAAGGCTGATGCCTTTCTCTGTTGAAGCGTGGGAGTGGTTCCCGTCACCCGTCGTTGCGTCGGTCCCTCCTTACCTCTAATTGTACGGACGTTAGTCGTTGGGTTGGACCGTTAAAGTCGTCTTCATCTGCTCTAACTTCGGCGCAATAGGCATTATGAATCTCTTCCCACATGGTGGGGGATACTTCATGAGTCGATTGAGCAGCTTCTTGGTTGCTTTGGATCCGTCTCTGTTCAGCTCGTTTTGGAAAGCTGCGACCGCCATTCCTTCTGGTACGTTTGGCAGTCCCATTCTTACCCTGTTGAATCGAGCCAGGAAGTCCTTGAGTCCTTCACCCGTTGTTTGCCTGATGGCGAAGATATAGTTGACCCTAGCTTCGGCTTTCTTTGCTCCTGCGTGGGCGGTGGCGAACTTGTCCGCCATCTCTTCGAACGTCGATACCGATCTGGCTGGTAATTGAGAGTACCATATGAGTGCTCCTCCTGTCAAAGTTTCACCAAACTTTTTCAGCAACACATATGGCACCTGTTCTTTCGATAGGTCATTGCCTTTTACGGCGGTCACATAATGAATCAGGTGATCTTCTGGATCCGTGGTCCCGTCGTATATTTTCAAGTACGGTGGCATCTTGAAGGTTTTAGGGATTGGGTGAGGAGCAGCTTCCTCATTATACGGTTGCTCGACGAATCTTCCCATATCGCGTTTTAGTAGTAGCTTAGGGGCACCAGGTATCTTGTCTACCCTTTCCTGGTGCTCCTTCATTTGATCACGAAGTGCTTTATTCTCGTTCTCCGTCTCCTCCATTTTCTTAAGGATGGCCGCGAGCGCATCATTGCTTGCATTGGTATCGGTGTGGGCGTTACTTGTTCGTGCAACGCTGGGCTCACCAGCGGCGGTGGCGATTTCTGCCATCGACGGATCTTTGATATTCCCTGAGGTGGTTTCTCGAGCATGCTACTTAGAGTGTTCGTCAACCATTCCTCTAGTAGCTTTTTGACTACTGGGGGCGTTTCCTTTGCTGCAGATGTAGAAGTCCCTCTCTCATGCAAAATTGTTAGATCTTCGAGTGAAGAGGGTGAGATCTCCCCCTCCGGTACGCTACTTGGTGTTACATTCGCGGTATTTTCTCTACTGGCTTCGTTGAGTGGGCCTATGAGGTTGGTTGAGACATCTGCTATCATCTTCAACCTTGATTCTTTATCTGCCATTTGTTAGTTTCTATGAGGTCTGAAGAACGGCGATGGTTGTTTTTAATATCCTAGTTGTGAACTATGATTTCGACTACCGAAATCCCACAGACGGCGCCAAATTGTTTGACTCAAAAGTTGTTTAATACTTTTTAAGCAAATCAATCAATATAGATGAAGGGGTAAATCGTAGTTGAAGATAATAAACCCTAGGATGATCTTGAGTATAGGATCAGATAGCAATGGTGCAAATCGGAGAAATAAGAGAAGGTGACAATCTTCGAAAGGTAAGAGAGAGATAATGTTAGAGAGAGAAGAGAGAGAGTTAATGTATTTCCAATAATGAAAAATCCCCCTTTTACAATGCTTGGATCCCTCTTTATATAATAGAGGATCCTTGCTTGAATATTAAAAGACAGAAAATAAAGTACATGCTGTGGAGTGGCCGACGTGATCATGAAGTCGTCCCTCTCGTTATTCATAGGTCGCCCTTCTAGTCGGACTCACATACATTCGGTCGGTCGTGCTGGCTTAAGGACGTGGTCGGTCAAATTCGATCCCATACTGTAACCTGTCAGCTAAGGTTATAGACTGAATAACAAATAGAACTCAACTTTCTTATCCTGCTCTCAAGTTTTTCTCAAAAAATTCATGTGTGTGGGCACATTTATGCAGGTTTTTCTAATAATTAAAGATTTTGGAGCTGCTGTTGTTTCCTCCTTTATCCTTTTCCACGAGGAGAAGGTTGTCGGATTTGTAACGATAGGCGTCCTATTCGCGGTCGGGAGTCCTCTTAAGAATCATAACCACTCCCTGAGGGCTTCTATGTTTATAGATGGAGAGTATGCTACTGATTTCTCTGTGTGCTTTCTTAAAAAGTCTCAATTCTTGGTGCCTTTTGACCTTATTTCAGTAATTTTAGATTGCTATTGCAACCTACTGTTCGATTGCTATCTTTCGCTTCGATTTTCTTTATATCTTATTATTGTTACTGCTTGTTACCACTGCTATTCTTTTTATGTTTCCTTTAGCCGAGGATCTAATGGGAACAACCTCTTTGCCCTCCCAGGAAAGGGTAAGGTTTGCGCACACACTACCCTACTCAGACCACACTTGATAGAATTTATTGGGTTTGTTATTGTTATTGTTGATTTATTTCAGTAATTTTTTAATCCAGGAGCCTAGACGAGCAGAAGCCGATTTTGGTAGATTTGATGTTAAAACAGTTGTAAGAAACATTTACATCCTTTTCTCTAGAAGTGAAATGCCAATAGCCGATGAAAAGCAGGAAATCATGGATATGGTGGATTCATCAACTCCTTTACCCCCTTGGTTTACAGAACAGGATCTTCAAACTTATTGTGTTTTATATGAGAAGTCTGGATTCAGAACTGCATTGAAGGTTCCTTATAGGTAAGAGCCAGTTTACTTATAAATAGTGGTAATAAGCTCTCTAAAATACATGGAAGCACAAACCAAACTTGCCATCCGTAAAGTAATGGGAAAATGTACTATGTTGTACAAAATATCTTAATTGTATCCTTCGTTATACTTTTTAGCTATCCATATTCTTGTCGTTAATTAGCAAATTGTCTTATATTTTTCTCGACTTTAACGGTGCTCCATAGAAAGGGAGCCTTGGGGTAGCTATAAAGTTGCTGCCATATGACAAGGAGGTTACGGGTTAGAGTCGTGGAAATAGCCTCTTGCAGAAATGCAGGGTAAGACTGCGTACAATCGACCCTTGTGGTCTGACCCTTCGCGCACAGCGGGAGCTTAGTGCACCGGGCTGCCCTAATAACGGTGCTCCATCATGAATGGGAAGGGGAGCCTTGGAGCAATGGTAAGGTTATCTCTGTCTGACCTATAGGTCACTGGTTTGAGCCTTGGAACCAGCCACTAATGCTTGCATCAGGGTAGGCTGTCTACATCGCGCACCTTGCAATGCGGCCCTTCTCCGGACCCTACGTGAATATCGGATACTTTGTGCACCGGACTGCCCTGCCCACGTATCAAAATACTTCAAAGAAATGTCCAAATACCCCTTTACTTTTGACTATGATTTAAAATTACCTATAGCTATACTTCGAGTTGGAGGTCCATTAGGACCAAGTGTAAAGACAAGACAATTTGCTAACGACAAAGTTATAATGGTCACAAAGTGTAACATAAGGTACAATTAAGATATTTGGTATAGTAATTAGCCACTTCATCTTTTTGAATATCTTAAATTTCCTTACATCCTTTGTTTTTCCTTATGTGAATTTTTCTTTTTGTTTAGGTCATACGGAGAACAAACAAACAAACTACCAGTTAATCCAAAAGTTCATGTTCCAGCACTGCTGATAATGGGAGAGAAGGACTATGTCTTAAAAGCTCCAGGTATGGAAGAGTACATAAGGTCTGAAAAGGTGAAGGATTTTGTACCAAATTTAGAGATAGTGTTTATTCATGTAGGAACTCATTTTGTTCAAGAGCAATTTCCAGAGGAAGTCAATCAACTTGTTCTTAGCTTCCTTAAAAGTCATAGTCAACCTTGAAATTTTATGAGTGTTAATTTTCAAAAGCATTATATATAATAGTTTTAGCAGTGATATATTTATAGCATTTGATGTTGTTATAATCTATCTTGGAATGAAGTACTACTATAATTCTGTTGATATGAGACTGAAATGAAGTGAATGTCCTCTATTTAACTTCTCTCAATATTTTATTTTGCCCTCTATATATAATTCGGTGATGATTTTAGCTAAAATTCCTATATAACTTCTCAAAGGTGTACTACTTTTTTGGGAGCAATTGAAGTCTTGGATTGAGATATTTGGATTTAGGAATTCTGGGATCCTCTTGATTCTGCAAAATGGGATATTAAGCTAGCGTTTGGACATAGATTTGGTTGAAACTTGAAAAAAGATTTGCTGAAGTTGTGTTGAAAAATAATTTTTGAAAGTTGAAGTTGTGTTTGGACATGCATTTTATCTGAAAGAAAATTTGAAGTCCTGTGAGTGGACGAAAAAATTTCACCCAAAAACTGCCCTAAACCAGTTTCTGGGAACTTGAAATTTTTTTAAATTTTTTTTCCATAAACAAACAATGTTTCCAAAAAATATTTGAAAAAATATAGCCAAAATCCATGGTCAAACGGAAGCTTTTTTCTAATTTAGGATGCAAAAGCACTAAATAAAATTTGATCCTTCTATTTGGACTAGGTGAGGGTAGGCTCGTGCTTGACACGGGCCCAACATTTGGAAGCATTTTAAGTCTATCCTCCTTTAGAGATAATTCTAATACTATTATATTTTAATTCTTTGTCAAACATGAAGTTCTAATTTTATGTCTTAAATTCAATAAGTGGAAGATTTATGTTACAAAAATCAAACGAACTCCAATTTACAAAACCATCATAGTGAAATTAATGATCATCTCGTACAATATGAAAAGCTTTTAAATCTACTTAATAAAATGTGGTAAGAGAAAGAACTTTTTATATTAAATATTTAATCCTATTGATTTATCTAATTAACAAAAATAACTTTTAAAGCACAACTATCGAACACTTAGTAAGTGGACTGAGTAATGCAATTGCCAAATTAAAGGACAACTAAATTAGATGCTAAGATAGGTCTTCATAAATCAAACCAACATATCAACACAAATATGGCATTATATGTAAGAAAATGAGTTAGATTGTGACTTTCTCGGAAATTTCTTCTTTTACAATGCCATTTTTCATTCATCAAATTTTTATGCTTATTTGGTTTTACATTTTGCTAGGAAAATATTTAATTTCTAAGTTTTTGTATAAAGATAATTTTGACACTTTAAACTAATATTTTTAGAATGTGTTCCTCCACCGTATGAAAAAAATGAAAGTTTAAGGATATTTAGTACTTTTTTATAACTATGAGAAAAACCTAGGAATGTGAACACTTTGAATATATATTTAGTTGTGCCATATCATAACTGTGTATCTCTCATTCTATAACTCAACAGTGATGGCAAGCTGTTCAAATACTTTCTTGCACTTAGTTTGACTGTTCTTAGTTAACCATGACTAACTTATTTTATATTTGTGCTTGTTATTTTGAGTTTTAGATAGTGCATTGTTGGTTAGACCAGCTGATCAATAGGCAGACAACTTTAGTTCCTTTAAAGATATCCATTGTATAAATATTACTACATGTTAGCTATTTTATAATGTTGACTTTTGTATTTCCTTTGTGTCAATTGAAAAATTATGAAATACTATAGTTGATTGAGGATCAACTTGACCTTGAGTTTTGCATATCATCATAATGATAAAATAGATAAATAGGTGTAGAGAGGAAGAGAGAATTTTCTTATTTCATCGAGTGTTTTCCAAGCGTATACAATGTGTGCCCAAACCCTTTATTTATAGGATAGACATTAAGGTAATACAAAGGGATGACATCAACATGGTATTAACTATTGAGATCATGTGGGAAGACCATGGGGGAGGTTATGGAGGTGTAGGAGTTACAACTATAATGGTGAGAAGTAGTGGAGGTTATCTATATAATGGAGAAGAGTAGTGGGAGATATACTTGATTAGTGGACCTCCATATAATATGTATTTCATAACATTAAAGTAATAAGGTATTTTTTTATAAGGAGGATTTACCTTTTCAATCCCGAAGTAATGAAAATTCTTGAAGCATTAACGAAGCGGGTGGAATCGGGTGAAAAGAAAATTGAGGCCAGTGACAAGAAGGTAGAAACATACAACTCCAGGGTCGACCAAATCCCGGGAGCACCCCCGATATTGAAGGGCCGGATTCCAAGAAGTTTATCCAAAAGCCTTTCCTCCGAGCACGACACCGAGACCGATCCCCAAGAGGTTTCGTATACCCGACATTTCAAAATATAGCGGAACCACGGACCCGAATAAGCATGTGACCTCCTATACATGCGTGATCAAAGGGAACGACTTGGAAGATGATGAAATCGAGTCGGTGTTACTAAAAAAGTTTGGGGCAAACTTTGCCCAAAGGAGCAATGATATGGTATCACAACTTACCCGAAAATACCATTAACTCGTTTGCTATGCTTGCAGATGCTTTCGTGAAGGCCCATGCCGGGGCCACCAAGGTCGAGACTAGAAAATCAGACCTTTTCAAGGTTAAACAAAGAGACAACGAGATGCATAGGGAATTAGTATCGAGGTTCCAGATGGAACGGATGGACCTGCCTCCAGCGGCAGATGATTGGGCCGTTCAGGCATTTACCCAAGGACTTAACCCCCGATGCTCCTTGGCTTCACAGTAGATAAACTAAAATTTGGTAGAGTACCCGGCGGTAACTTGGGCCGACGTCCACAACAGGTACCAATCGAAGATTAGAGTCGAGGACGATCAACTCGGAGGCCCTTCTGGATTTGTTTACCCCATCAGGGCTGACGACAGGTCTAAGAGATCCGTCGATCATAAGCTAAGACCGGTCCGGGATCGATACCAACCATATGTTAGATCTCAATTAATTTTAATGATGCAAACTAACCAATTACTCCCTATGTGCAGAAAAAGATTCTGAGCAATAAAATGGAGGCATATGGAGGCAAAAGTGAATCAAATGAAAAAAGAAAAGGGAAGCAGAAAAATCAATCAAGGAAGATGGCAAAATCAATTAAAAGAGATATTATAGGTAGGATCTCAATCAAAGGATATTAAGGGAACGAAATCATCCACTAAAGATTCTCCCACTTAAAGACGTTAATCGAAGGCATCAGTCAAGGGATTTGGCAATGGAAATATTCTCTCAGTTAAGGAAGAAATCATTCAAGTCCGAGAGTCAAGGTGTCACGACCCGGAATTGCCAACTTCGAAACCGTGATGGCGCCTAACATTTCACTTGCTAGGCAAGCCAACGTTAGAGAACCGTTAAGCCAACTTTTATTCAATTTCAATAAATAAATTCCATTAAGCTAAGAATGAGATAAAACCGATTGCGGAATAACATAAATTCCCATTAGCTGCTACAATAAGGATCTGGAGTCACAACTCATGAGCTTCTAGAATTTACTACAAATAGAGTCTGAAAGAAATACAACAGTTTTGAAAGAAAAGAAACAGTGAAATAGGAAAAATAGAAGGGACTTCAAGGTCTGCGGATGCCAGCAGATCTACCTCGAGTCTCCAAAGCTAGTTCAAGCTGCTCCAACTCACGAACAGCTAGGGCCGGTACCAAAATCTGCACAAGAAGTACAGAGTGTAGTATGAGTACAACCGACCCCATGTACTCATAAGTGTCGAGCCTAACCTCGACGAAGTAATAAACCTGTGCAATTAACAGTATATGTACAGGATAACAACATATAAAAGCTAGACAGATAATATCGGGAGGGGAACATGCTAAGGGGATACCAGATACGGGAGATATAGCGGAAATGATAACCAGAATAGTGAATATGCCTTTAACCAATAAGAACAATTAAGCACAATGAAGAATATTGCACGGCATCACCCTTCGTGCTTTTACTCTCAACCTTACAATGAAACAATGATAATGCACGACATCACCCTTCGTGCTTTTACTCTCACTCACAGTATAAATCAATAGAAATGGCACGGCATCACCCTTCATGCATTAACTCTCATAACATGGCACGGCATCACCCTTTGTGCATTAATACTCACAATATGGAACGACATCACCCTTTGTGCATTAAGACTCACATACGGCACGACATCACCCTTCGTGCATTAACACTCTCCCTTACCACATAACAATGAACAAGTAATAACAGGGAGATAGGATCAACAGGTACAAGCCTTACTTCATCAACGGTTCCACAATACCAATCTCAACTTGGAGTCAATACTCAATTATCACAAAAACCCATAAACACGATAAGAACGATCGATTTAACAAATAACTAGTCTCAGAATGGATAACAAGATCAAAGTAGGCAAAAATTGCAAGAATAAGTCACACCCGCATGCTTTAACCCGAGAACAATGCATAAGTACTCGTCACCTCACATATACGTTGTACCCAACATCTAAACATGAGGCAAATAGACAAACAAGTCATATTCCCTCAAGTCAGGGTTAACCACGACACTTGCCTCGTTCCAAAGACCAAACTCAAAGCTCAACCACATCTTTGCCTTTCAAACAAGCCTCCGAACTAATAGAATCTAGCAAATTACCAACCAAATGATTCAAATTAAGCCTTAGGAATTACCCACGATTGCAAAGAATTCAATTTGGGTCATTATTGAAAATGTCAACAAAAGTCAACACCCGAGCCCGCTTGGTCCAAACCCGAAATTTGGACCAAAACTTGATTACCCATTCACCCCCGAGCCCGGCTATGTAATTTGTTTTGGAACCCGACCTCAATTTGAGGTCTAAATCCCCATTTTACAACAATCCGTATTTCTACCCAAACCCCCAATTTCCACCATGAAAACACAAGATTTTAGGTTGAAATCTTAGGAAAAGTAATGACAGATTGAAAGAAACTAGTTTGGAATCACTTACCAATGATTTGGGGAAGAAGAGCTCTTTGAAAAATCGCC